AAACTTGTTAAGTTAATGAATATTTGAATTGATTATAAAATCAATTTCTGATCTTCAATCGACGTATTCTCGTAATTGTATGAACATGTCAATTTCTATTGGCTTTATCATAATGTCTACGCAAATTGAATTGAACTACTTTTGATAATCAATAATTAGTAATCAAACATGCAAATGAATTAATAATGTAATTAATTATAGCTATCTGTGACAGTAATAATTAATAACCAACCGACTACTATTCTCCATTTAACGAAAATCCATTCATGGATATATATCCACTATATTATTTAAATACTAAAAATTTTTTTATTTCTAAATTTTTAATTATATAATCTTTAATCTTGAAATAAATTTATATCAAATAAAATTCATATAAATGAAATTTTTATCCTTTCAATTAATAGCTATAGGAAAATAAATTTCCAAAATAAACGCAATTTCTCAAAAATGGCTCGTTACTTTGAAACATCTAGTAATTAAAAAAATTACTAGATTTCTACATCTCAGAAACACATTTGTTTTCTTCTCCATATCGTGTATAAAATTTAATTCTGATATGAATATTAAAATAAAACTTACCAAAGCATCTAGTAACAAAAACTCACTAGATTTCCATTGTTTTAATTATCTCCTAATTCTTAAATATTCAAAGATTAAGTTTTGTTAAATTATCCTAATATCCCGTACAAATAAAAAGGTGTGTCGAGTCTCGTTTCGCGTGTTATGCGATTAAAAGAAGAGGAGGAAAAAATTCGAAAAATTCGAGAAAGCGAAAAAGAGGAATGGAATGTTAACTGTGGATAATAGGTAAATAGCAAAGGGCATCAAAAAAGTCTGGAAATACATGGGAGCGTGTTCATTACGCGCTTAACTGTAACATTGTCTAGGAAAAAAAAAATTTCTCCAGCACCACTCATCGCAATTTTAACCCATGACAATAATGGGTTAACTCGTTTTGTGTTAATCATGGATAAAAATATTTGAATCGTCGTTGTTATTTGACATCGAAATTGTAAGAACAAGAAAGAAAAAAAACTGATGAATTAAATATACAGAATTCTAATTAAATAATTGTTGAATTGTTTCGATTGAATTATTTAAAAATTGAGTTAAATGAGAGACATTGAATTAATATAAAATTGTTATAATGTAGTTGATAATTTTAATTTTTTTTTTTTAAAAAGATTCAAAATTTTCTTCTATCATTCGTTTCGAACAATCTAAGTAAGAAATGGTTGCGTCTTAATTTCGCTCACGAGGCAATAAAATCGAATTAAGAACAGAAACGAGGAGGAAATAGCAATGCCAAAAGAAAATAAATGGAGAGAGTGCGTGTCGAGGCTCTCTGTATCTCAATCTATCGAATAAAAATCTTTCGGATCCCTCGAGTTCCTCTTCGCAATGAACGGATATATTTAATTATCTTCATTAACTTTCTACACGACGTGTCTATCAGCCTAACATTCCGAATGATCTCTTCGAATGGCTTAATATTAGAAAGGGAGATAAAGAAGATTGATAAAAAAGAAAAAAAATTATGGATGCACCATAACTCACCGATAACCGGAAGTTCTTACGTTTCTTGCTGTTGAAAATTGACTTTCCAACCAGTTGAGCAAAATCCTAATCATTTTTATCTTGTTGCGAAAAGATGTATATTTAATCGTTCGTATTCTCAAGTTTATCTGTTTAGAAGAAAAGAGATTACAATTCATTTGAAATACAGGAAATAATTATTGTCTCGATGTAATAATATAGTACCAAGAAAAAAGTGGATATGAATTAAAATTAAAAATTTGATATACGTAATTTTCAAGTTGCATAATCTTGTAAGAGGTGATAGAAGGAGTAATGATACGTGAAAGAAAGTTCTTTGAAACCTGTTCATTTTTTATTCCTTTCCGGTTTTAGAAGTTGGAAAGAGCATTAAAGTTCAGTAACTATATTACAAAAATAAAAAAAAATTGTGAAGTTAAATGTGAATTAAATGTCATCCGAACGTGTTTTATCCGAATTTCTCATATTTGAATAATTAATATATTATACTTTTTTGAAAATTATGCAATTACAATATGCATTTTTAATTAAAACGACGACGTAAGATCAAAATTTATATTTATACAAAACAAATAATTTTCATTTCATTTATATGGATTGATTTATCTAAACATTTTTACAATGTGATAAATTATACCATTATATTGTAATTTATTATTTTCACTCTCTATCTATTCTCGATCTTCACAATTTCCTCCGAATCTTAATCAACGATTTTCGTCCATTCAGAATTCGTTCAGAACAGAACAGCACTGACATACACGGTTTCCCATGGCTCCACGTGATTCGCATGCTTTCACTTTTTCCGTAACGGGGCGGTTTATATTATTTTTATATCACGGGGCCCCATTTAAACATAGGTGAAAGTATGCAATTTCGAGGAAAAATTCCGGCCAGGTTTTAAAACAGTAACATTTATATTACGCGTAATTTCGTACCATTTACCGAAATAGTTTGTTAATTCATCGTTACTTTCCTTCTCTATCCACCATTGTTCTCAACATCGTGAATTTTCCTTTTTTCTTTTACTCCGAGAACATCTGTTATCAAATAAGGCGTGCAATTTGAAATTTCTTCCGATTGTTGATGATGATAATGATCTCTGAGAAAGGCAGTAATTTTACAATCTTATTAAACTCTTTTAAAATGACTTAGATTATACTTTCATTCACGTATATCGAATTCATATCAAAAAAACATTCATAATCACCAATCTTTCGAAATAATCTCTTCCTTATCCAATCTCTTTTCAAGTAACTCGAAAATTACCAATCTAGAAAATTCTTATTTTTGAAGTCTTCAATTTTAATTCCACAATACCAATCTCGAAACAAAAAAAAAATTCATATATTGAACATCATTCTAATTAAACTAGCCTACCAGTTCCAATTCGTATCAATTTCTACGTACTCTAATTTACATCATTACAGTTGTGCATTACAATCATTGGAACCAATTAAAAAACGTATCGGAACTAGGCCACTACTATCTCGAGAACTCTTGACTCGTTACTTCATTGTTACGTTTTCTTTCTCGACGAATTCCAACGTATACGAGGTATATCTCGAATAAGACATCGAACATTGTTGCGACATCACCACCACGAAAGAGTTGATTCGCGTTCAGGTGTTGAGAAACGTTGAGGCGAGTTTTCAAACTTGCGTCACGTACGTCTATTAGTCGACTATTTCTCGCTCGAGCGTAAAGTGGTTCGTTTGTGAATGCGTGCAATGAGAGAAAGAGAGAGAGAGAGAGAGAGAAGATATTTTCTCGTGGAAACGCGTGAGATAGGAAGAAGTTATCGCTAATCAAGTATGAAAGTGTAATTGCACGAATGATTTATTCGAGCTTGTTCAACAAGTGTGAATTAAGTATTATTAGGTGTATATATAGTTATCTTGTTTGGCAATATTGCGAGCTGAAACGATTTATCGAGCCTTTTAATTTTAGTACGTTAAAATTGTGTAATCTGTTTTTTTCTTCTTTTTTTTCAATTCGTGATATATGTGAATTTGATTTTTTTTTATGATTTAGGAAAGATAATTATTTAATGATTGAAAAAATTGAAATATTTCAAGAAATGATAGAATTTATTCATTCGTTGGATTTAATATTTCACTTTATGTTTCCGAATGTGTGTATAAATTATCCTATTATCGATAGCGGAAGAGTGGAATAAATTCCAGTATCCAGCTTCGAGTTATGAAAGGCTGATTGAAAAATAAAATGCGAGAAAAGGTGGTCTGAAACCAGATTCGATCTCGTATTTTAGTAAGTATTACGTACTACGTTTTGAGAGACAGTGATAAATCGTACATTTTTGTAATAAAAACAGATGGTCTAATTATTTTATGGTCATATATATATCTACCATCTTTCTTTCAATCAAATCAAATTTAGTTTCGACATTTTACCATTGCAAACTACTAATTTTTATCCATTTTACCTTCTTACTTATTTCCACTCTTCCATCCATCGAAACAATCCAACTCCATTCCCAACCTTGGACTACCCTGCAGATCCTCATCCTTATACAAAAATTTTTCATTCCCCCTCAGACACCATAAATATTCTCCCAAGAAACGTGCCAATCTTATTCGAAACAACTACATTTCATTTCCTTCATACACCCAACGAATCACCCCTTTAATCAAAAGAAGCAAGTACACGATCCAAATCTGTTCCATTCGTGGGTCGAACCGTTCTCGTTCCGTTAAGTAACGACTCCCTGCGCTCGATAATTGACAATTAACGCGTAAATTTTATCCTGTTGCACGCAAAGTGGAAAGCGAAAGGCCGGCGCAAACAGAGCGCGAAACCCGTTGAAAACATGCCCCGCGCGGAATGTTATCGCTCGGCTTTTCCGAAAGCCGCCTTTCCAACCCACCGATCCCCTTCCCTTCCACCTCCCTTCTCGTCTCGAAAAAATGTTGCAACGTTGCTCTCCTCCAATCTTTCCCTCGGATTTTTCTATTTTAACGGTAACGGAAAAACAATCGTCGATCGTCGTTGGACGATAGACGCGGCATAAAAAAAGGTTAAAAGTTTTGTTTTCTGATTATCGTTACTCGGTATCAACTGTATCAACAATCGAGTATCGATTCTGTATTCGAAGGGGAAATGGGGTGAGATATGGGGAAAGTTTGCGCGCGCCAAGTTTAAGTATACATGGAGGATAGTTTGGATATGGATTGGATATATTATGGAGGGGTTAGGGGATGTTTGTACCAGTAATACGATATGAAATTAATTTCTCTTTAGTGATTAAATGTGTATATATAATACGTATAGGATTTTGAACAGAGAGATATTGGAATTTAATTTTTTCTTTTTTCTTCAAGCGTTTTATAAAATGGTGGAATTTTTATTTTGGAAAATTTACTTCTGAAATTTATTTTTCGAGAGTGTTACAATGGGGATAAAGTGTATGAGCGGTGGCGGCCCTCGGCGACCGACGCCTCGTGGGCAGCGAGATCGAGTAGCGCCTGCTGCTTGTAATAGGTGGACAGCTCGTTCTGCGCGCGGCCTCTGTTTGCCGAGGCCGATGGCTTCCGGGTAAGCGGCGACTGCAGCATCCGCTGCTTCCATTCCAGCAACCGCTTCATCGACTCCTCGCGCTGTAATCACCCACGCATCTCGAGTCTTTGCCTTGACTTTAAACGCTG